CCCCCCCCCCCGCTACAGATGGTCCCAGTTCCAGCCCCACCTCCCTCTATCTTCCTCCCTACCGACCTCCCCCACCTCCCTACAGGGCCACCCAGAGAGGGGAGGGTGCAAGTGGGGCAATTTGCCCCAGGCCCACAGGGGCCCCTATGAGAATATAGTATTCTATAGTATTGCAACTTTTTTTTATGGAAGGGGCCCCCGAAATTGCTTTTGCCCCAGGCCCCCTGAATCATCTGGGCAGCCCTGTCTCCCTACCTACAGTCCCTCCACCTACTGTCACTACAGCTCCCCTGCTCTCACATCTACCATCCTCACAGTCCCCCAGATCCAGCTCCCCACCCCACACACAGCTTCTACTCTCTCTCTCCTGTTCCAAGGCCTCCACATGTCCACTACTCTCCCATCTCCCCCAACTCCAGCCTCCCTTCCACTTATATCCCCTAGACCGACTCCATGTCTTGCCCCCCAACACCTGCAGTTCACAACCCAGAGCTGGGGCCCAGTACAAACCCCACAAGGAGCCAGTAAGAAACCTGTACAACAGAATCGATATTGAGACGTGGCCGACACTAGTATCCAGACAGAGAAAACCAAATCCCAATGATGAGAAATGAGCATGGACTTCCCATTGAACAGCAAAGAGAATCCAGTATTGCCACTGGGGCCTCCCCAACCGAGCCTCTCCCTCAGGAACCTGCCCTCTTTGGGGGAAGCAGCAAACCGGATTGTAAATAAAGACAAAGGGGCCGGCAGAGCACTCGGGGCTGTCACCTTCCCACAGTGGCTGCTTCTGCCTGTGGAGGGGGCACCGGGCACCATTCTGAGCCAGCCAGGTTAATAGCTGAGATTCCTTAGAAACAGTGGAAGCTACAGGGCCCTTGAGTCAGAAGTAACAAGGCCCAGCTCACCTGCTGCAGTCAGCATTCAGACACAGCTTGGAATTCTCACATGACTTTTTAAAAAAAGGAACCAACCCGGTTTAATGGGGTATTGTTCTGTTTATTCAGCCAATAACAGTTTCCACAGGGCTCACTGAAGACTCAAAGAGGGATTTGCTCCCTTCCCTTATCACAGGGATCAACATAAATTCAGACATTCTCCGCTATGGGCACTGTGCAATCTACCAGACAATTCCCAGCTCACTTTCCAGGGGCTGCAAATGTGGGAAGACGTTTCCGATGCTTGGATAATTCATTGATGTTCTCCATCCATGAGCACTATGGTGGGAGAGGAAGAGGTTAGTCACAGAGGTTAGTCTGCGTAACAAAGTGCCAAGCTAACACTGCGAGAACAACCCATTTGTACAAACCAATGTGAACACCTCCAGTACCCACACAGACTCAGCCCTGGGACAGCAGAGCAAGGAATGAGAACCACACGCACCAAGGCATTGCAAGCCTGGGGCTTTCTTAAACAAAGCAGGTTATTTGGATAGCTGGCCTGCAGTTTGTCACGGACTGTGGGGGAGAAAAGGCCCTGCACCCCCGGCTTCCTGCGATTCACCATGACTCTCAGCCAAGCCAGTAAAGCAGAAGGTTTATTTAGACGACAGGAACACAGTCCAAGACAGGTCTTGCAGGTACAGATAACAGGACCCTCCCCCAGTCAGGTCAAGTCCGGGGGGGGGGGGGGGGGGGGGGGGGGGGGG